TTGTAATCATCAGTTTCATCTCTACCATTTAGCTCCCAAAATGCTGAGCCAGAATCTGGTCAACGTTTATGACCCATGCACCACAATATCCACTACACATCTGTCCTTACATAGTGATCTGTTTCACAGATGATTGAAAGAAATTCAAAAGCTACAAACCTGTATTCATCAAAAAGCAGCCATCTCCTCCACCCAGCCTCTCTCGCCAGAGATGAACATTATAAATTACTGCCTTCCTCCAGAAATGTTCTAAATCTATGCAAACATTTCTGTTTGCCTATTTCTTTCCTACAGATGATGGCATTCTTGCTCACTGGCCCACTCATAGCTTTTCTACTTTAATAATATGTCTACTGATTCCCATAGAGAGCTTTTCCCTTTAAACAGATAAATATTACTTCACTCTGTGAATGTTCCACCATGTACTTAACAGTTACCAACTGACAACATTACATGGATTTTGATGCTCTCCACTTAAAAATAATTCAAAAATGAAATCATTGTACATTTATTCAGTGGTTCATAGGAATGTATAGATAGAATATAGTCATAGAAATATTTCTTTGTCAAAAGATATTTGTGTTTAAAACTTTGAAAGATATTTCCACATTATTTTCCTTCTAGATTGTTAGTTTGCATTTTTGCCAACAACGAGAGGAACTGTTTTCTCATGAGAATGTAACTTTGTCAATCTGAGATATGGAAAATGGCATGAAGTTATAGTTCAATTTGTTTTCCCTTCATTGTAAGTTTGGGTGAGAACTTTTTGTATGTTAAAATACCATGTGCAAATCTTGTTGCAAACAACAAAAACTCGTCTGGCTAGTTCAGCCAGAATTATAATCTCTTAAAGGTGATAAGATACTACTTGTGATTGTTGAAGAAACAGACACAAAGATGGAGACATCAAAAAACAGACAATAAATTGGCCTGAAATGGATACCAGTAGTTCTTCCACTGAACACAAAATGCCAGAGGCCTCTGTCTCTACTACTCCCTCCATCTCTGACCTTACCTGTGAGCAGATACTTATTCCTGTACTTCTTGCTGCCACCTACACAAGAAAATGGGAGCAATCTTTTCTCACCTCTAAAGCAGTCTCACTAGGGTGTTTCTGAGTTCTGACTTCAGTGTAGGAAATCAGGATCCTTAATGTGCAAACTTCCCCAAGCGTAGGAAAGTATTCAAAATATGACAAGAAGACTTGGCTATATGAAATATACACCTCAGTACTCCACACTATCAATATGCAATCTTTTTTCTTTCAGTCTTAGAAACAAAAGCAGATACTCCCCTGATGCACTACACCTTTCATACATTTCCAAGCAAACATCCCCTTTCTACCTCAGAGGAAGATGAGTTTCAAAAGAAGGGGAAGAGAGTTTCTGACTTGTACAGATGCATTGTAAAATCTTAGAAGAGCTAGCAATATATTCATTTGCCATGTGCCTTTGTAAATTTTGCTAAAATAAGCTATTTTAACTGAAATTATTTAATACTATCGATTAGTCCTGCTCGCTATTCTCTTTCATCAAACTTTGCCACACCGGATGGCATAATAAAAGGAGATGAGCTAAGGATACATTTAGTAAGGACTTATTATAATATAGTTTTGTTCTTTAGCTACTTCTGTGTATTGGCTAGTTATTGCTAACTAATACAGTATAGAAATGTTTTTAAGAAACACACAATTGCTAGGAGAGGTGGCACACGCCTGTAATCCCAGAGGCTCAGGAGGCTGAAGCAAGAGGATTGAGAGTTCAAAGCCAGCCTCAGCAATGGTGAGACACTAAGCAACCCAGTGAGACCCTGTCTCTAAATATTAAAGTACAAAATAAGAGTTGGGGATGTGGCTCAGTGGTTGAGTGCCCCTGAGTTCAACCCCAGGTAGCCACCCTCCAAACACACACACACACACACACACACACACACACACACACACACATACACACACACACACCTTCTATTGTGAGATGTGCCCAGCACTGTGACTGAACATTCTGACTTGAAGGTGCAATGCCAAAGACTTGGTCCTAATACTCTGGTATCACTTAGCACCAGAAGTAATTATGGAATAAAGGAGATACCAGGTTACAAATATCTGGAGCTAGGAGCTGGACTGTGGAAAATTCTTTTAATCATTACATCAATTGGATTTAAGGGAAGTTTCCAATTCTCGTCAGCATTGAGTCATAACTAAAATTTGTCCTATCAGGAATATGTTTCATAACACAACTTTTTCTTTCAGTGCTGCAAGTGGAAACCAGGGCTTTGCACATGCTAGGCAAATGCTCTACTCCTGAGCTACATCCCTCGCCCTAATTTTCTTTTTTGCAGCAAATAAAATCCAGCTGTGCAAGAGAGAAGCTATACAAGTGAGAAGAATACGTCTAGATTATTGTAAATATATTTTCAAAGGATTATAAATATATTTTCAAAGTTAAATATAAAATGAGACCCTATTGACAGATAACTGAGCTGGAGCATGATGATATTTTTTATGAATGCTATCATTAGGGGATCCAAAAAAATTTTTGCCAAGTACTGGATATGATGTTCAGTTTCTTTGGAAAGCCAATGAATACCATACAATTTCTTGCCTTTTTTTCCCATACTTTATTGGTGCACTTTAATTATACATAAGAGTGAGATTTGTTTCCATATTCATACATGCATATGATATAACAATATAATTTGGTCAGTATCATTCCCCAGTATTTCCTCTTTCCCTCCTCTCTTTCTCTCTTTCATCTTCTCCACCTTTCTTTTCCTTTATCTTCTCGAGCTTCCACATATAAGAGAACATACAACACTTGACCTTCTGAGTTTGGCTTATCTCACTCAACCAAGTTTTATCCATTTTTCCTGCAAATGGCATAATTTCATTCTTCTTTGTGGCTGAATAAAACTCCATTGTGAACATATATATAACATTGTCTTTATCCATTCTTCCACTGACGGTCACCTACACTACAGTTCCATAGTTTGGCTACTGCATAACACAACATATTTAATAAAAATGCACTTTTCTTTTATGGTGTTAATTATGTGAAATAGAAGGTGTCAGAAAAGGAAGGTTAGTGGGAAGAGCCAGAGCTACTGCCACACCACAGCTGACCTTGGCAGCATGGTTAACACTCATGATCTCCCTTGCATTCCCTCCCATCTGATTGCCTCTGATCTTATCAGCTAGCATGCATTCTGATTTTAGTGTCTTACTTGAATGCACAACATAAACCGTCATCTCAGAAGGGACTGAGCTGAAAGTCACCATATCCTTTGCAGGCCCTCCTGACCTCTCACTCCATTTACCATAAATGGATCACTTATGTGACAATCTTGCCAAGATGGTGACTGTATGTCTCACCTTCTGGTTCTTTGTCATGATGAGGGCAAATTGTCCAGGCAGCAACAGTATCTTATAGTTAACGAAACTCTTTCTGTGTCCTCTCATAGAAGTCTTCCCTCTTCAGGAAGTAGGAACTATAAATCCACACAACCCAGAGTCCTAGGGATAGGAAATACCAATTCCAAATTTCTACTACTTTGTTCCTAGTTCCATATAAATTAGCTGAATTTGTTCATTTGAACTGTATACTGCCGCAGTCTTGGCTGGGCACAAGATCACGAGCCACCACACACCTTGTAGATTCGAACAGCAATTCTTTATTCCCGAACTCACACCGGCCCTGTACAAACATGTTCTGGGGAAATCCCACTTCTGCCCGCCAATTCACGTCCCAAAATACTTTCTGAATTCCACAAGAACTCAACGGGAACTCAGGCAGCAGGAACGCCCTATACCCAGCAGCAATAACCTTAAACCTGGAACTTCCCTAAACCCAGATTGTCTTAAACCGGGAACGCCTTAAACCCAAATTATCTTAAACAGGGATACTTTAAGATACTTAAACCAGGTTTAAGGTGTATCCTAAAACCTGCAGGATACACCTTAAACCTGGATCCACCCTGGTCCTTGAGCAGGGTCACCTTTCTCAAAGACACATGCAATGTCGCAGCAAATTTCCATTTAACATGGGGTACGCTGGCAAGGAAATTTCGATGCATCATTCCTACTTGGCAATGGCCCTCAGCATGAAACATGGAAAAGATACTCCTTCATACCCCTCAGAAAGAACCTACCTTCCCAATACTATGACTTGGGTTCCCTAGCCTCTAGAACTGTTAGACACTTCTCTTGTTGAAGCCACCTAATTTGTGGCACCTTTTTATTTCAGACCAAGGAAACTCGTACACTTGGCCAATAAGAATTCATGCAGTTGACATTGCTTCTAGCTTCCACCTCTGGTACTACCATGTTTACTAATTTTAGGTGACCACTGTCTCAACACTGAGCCTATCCCATGTCGACTTGCTGAGTGAGCATTCACATGAAATACAAAGACTTCACAATTCCCAAATATGCATCCACAGGCATTGTACCCAGACCTCCCTTTTGTCATATTTTCAGCTTTTCCATTCTGTTTCTCAGACTAATTGACCAAGCCATTTTCCACCATCCAAGAGTCTATGCCTATTATAACCCTGAGTTACTTTTTTCTCTTCAAAGTAGACCTCCTGAGGCTCTGCTCATTGGAATTTATTTCTCCTCACCACTGTCTTTCAAAGTCTACTTTCAGTGGATGGGCCTCGGTGTGGCTGCGATGCATAAAGCAAGCTCAGAATTGTTGCCCCTCCATCAGCTAGTCATTTGGATCCTTAACATACCCATAGTGAGAGATGGAAGTGGATGCCGTGAGGGCTTATCTACCTTCTCATTCAACTTGCTTATGTCTCTGTCTTTCCTCATGCTCCATCCTGGATACCTCACTACCATCTTAATTGCCGTTAGTTCTGCCCAACTTTAGACTATGTTTATCTGACAAACTATTGGGTCTCATGGTCATTTATTACCCACCGTTCAGAGTTCCAGAACACCCAAAAGCAGATTTTCTTGACTGATATATAATCTTTTCATGCAATACCTCAACTTTTCACAGGATCAACTGAGATGTATGCCCAAGAAGCATGGCAGTCTGTGCCTCAATCTGGATCTGCTGCAAACACTTTTCTTGTCACTTGGTGTGGTTCAGAGAAGTATTCTCAGCTGTGGAAAATGCTGCTTCAAGATCTGAAGAAAACTACCAGATCTTGTGTTTACTTTTGCACAATGGAAAATAAACATTATATCAATTCTGCCTTTATTTCAGAAGGATATTCTAGCAGGCCCCAAACCACTAGAGACCTAAATCTGAAACTAAAATGATGAGCCTTTGAATCTTCATAGGATTTATTCTTAAACCTTTGGAATATAAATATCTTACCAAGGACTTTAAAATGTTAGCCACTTCTTGTTCATCCAGTCTGATTAGCATGATGTCCTTGACATGATATAACAGTGTGATACTCTTCAAGATATCCAACTAGGTTATATATCTCCAAATTCTATCATGACAGAAGAGTAAGAAAACTGATATAGTCCCAAGGCAAGGTGGGAAATGCATACTATTGTAAGCATTTGTAAATAAATGTGAATTATTTCTGACTTTTTTTTTTTTGAAAGGAGGGGAAGGGATGAATTTGCAAGATCCCAGTGTTATAGACTGACTTGTCTTCCCCCAAAATTTGTATGAGGAAGCTTTCCACCAATTCCTTAGAATATGACTATATTTCAATATAGGGCCTTTTAAAAGGTAATTAAGATTAAATTAGGTCATTATGGTGGGCCCTAATTCAATGTGATTGGAGTCCTTATAAGAAAAGAGAGGGACACCAGGAATGTGCACAGTCAGAGAAAAGACCATGTGAGGACAGAGGGAAAAAGGTAATCATCTACTGCCCTAGAGAGAGAGACCTAGAGGAAACCAAACCTGTCAATATCAAACACATTGATTTTGGATTTCCATACTCCAGAACTGTGAGATATAAACTTCTGTTGTGTAGGAGACTCAGTCTGTGGTGTTTTGTTAAGGTGACTCCAACCAACTAACACAAGCAGCTACATACCATGTAGCTGAGTCTTTGTTAATTTACTCTAGTAAGGGTACCACGTTTAGCACAGTAGCTATAACTGGACTACCACTTAGTTAGGTTAGCAATAGTGTACTATCATTCTATAGACACCATGTTTATTTTTGTTTCAAGGGAGGTAGTGGGAGCTAAGTGGAATAAGTTGAAGACTGTCACTGCTGCTTGCTTTTGCCCTTTAGAGTGGTAATAATTATTGCCTTACCCTAGAATGTGATATTAATTTTAATTTACTATCTTGCTGAGGTTAGGAGAATTTTCAGAGACTTCCATTTTTCCTTCCACATCATAATGACTCATTCTAGAGCTTGAGAATACAACATAAGTGTTGAGCCAAAACCAAGAATGTTTATTCCAATTATGCATTCAAAAACTGATAAAGTGATTGCCCCATAGGTCTCCAGATTCAGATCACTCATGTTGAAGCAAACCTAGACTGGGATTTCTTTTATCATATGATCCCCAGTAATAATTTCCAATCCAGGGAGTTGACTTTTATTGGCCTCCTGGTCAATCCATCCTGGATTTGTTTGTTCTTTTTGTTTTGTTTTTGTTTTTTTTGATTATACAACTGAATACCCTTGATGACTATCTACTTTGTCCTAAGGATGCCATATTTTATTTCCACAGATCCCTATGTGTTAAGATCCTTGGTTGCCTCTCTAACCTTTCCATTTGTCACAGTAGTTTTGTCCACTTAGCTTCTGATGATTCAGTGCCTCCATCACCTAGCCTCTATTATTTCAATTCGCTATTGCTTTTATCAGTGAGCCTACTTCTATAACCTTTCTTATTTCCTTAATAACCAGGGACATTTTAGTGATTTTTTTATCATCAGTACATTTTATTATTGCCTCCAGAAATGAAGTATCCCTTGTGCCCTCCCATGTAACATAGCCAAATCATAGGTTTACTAATTTTACTTATTTGACTCTAGCATACCCAATAAATCTCTGAGCTATTCATTTTTTTCTTCCACCATCAGACATAGTGATTTAGCTGTGGGGTATGGCTTTTTCCATACTTCTAGAAACTACCCTATTACCCTTTGCAGAAAGGATGAAAATTTTATCTTCTTGAGTCCTTAACATGATGTTAATCCCATGTTCCAGGACGGTGCTCCACAACCAAAAAATTCTCCCTTATCTAACTCTGTGTTCTCCTAACTCACATCCCCAGTCCAGTTTCCTCAGAAGGTACCCTTATGTGTAATTTTGTGGGTACTTGCTGGAAGTGTAAGTATTCTATTCATGAAATATAAGTGCATCTTTGGACTCAGGTTCAATCCTGTCTATTTTGTATCCCATTTATGAAAGCATGTTGCTGAACACTATGCCTTATGACTTCGTAGTTCAGATGATATTCTGTTCATGATGGGCGCAGCTTCACTCAAAGATGATATATAGTGAATGCCCATGTATGTACATGCTGCCATTCAAGGAAGCAAAGCTCATTGAGTTTTGTATTTTTATTTTAGTGCAAAACAATGCACTTATACCATGTTTTATTGGTTTGGTTTGGTTTGGTTTTGTGTTTTGTTTTTTCATTCTGGTAAAGAATTCCCAATGTACCCCAGACCATGGTTGGCATGGAAATCCCAAAATATGCCTGAGGTCAAGACATTTGTACTAGGGAAATGGGGTGTCTTATCCTCTAGTATAAATGCTTTACCACAGCATTTAGATCTTGATATTTTCCACTTATCAGATTCTGAATGTCAGAAAAAATATAATTAAGATAGTAAACTAATATAATGTCCTATTACAGTGATCCAAATTATTGTATTTTCAGAACACATTAACACAAATATTCCAAAGTTATTGTATAATCCATTGCCTTCTTGAAATTTTTGGCATGCATGTGACCCCTTGGACATGCTGGGATTACACTGAGGTTATAAGTGCAATGCAGGTATACTTATAGAAACAACTGAGGAGGATTAAGTTCTTGTAAGATAATTGCCTCAAATGACTAAATTACTGAATCTTTTTTGCAAGCAGGAATCTGTTTCTTCATGAGGAGAAACAGGACCTGTTTCTTTTATTAGGATCATTCCATGGGGTTTGGGCATTTAGAAAAACTCCGAGCCATCTGAATCTTCCCACATGTCTTCACTCTAATTCTCAGAGCTCCATTGTCTTTCAGTAAATGTTTCCTTTCATATAAGAGATCTATAGAGTATGAATTCAACTTACTATAAATACAGCAACTCAAAGGATGAAAATTTTATTTGATTTTTTAGTTTCCTTAATGTTTGAAGTTGCATATGACAAAGTATTATTTTACAATTGATAGAAATGTCTTGTTTCTGTAACAGTGATTTCAACCAAGATTTCAGGATTTTTAGATAATCATTCACATTTGAAATAAGCAGTCAATCCCACAGTCCTTGAATGTTCAAGATTAATACACTGTTCCATATTTTTAGCAATTGACTTGCAAGGCCTTCCCATCAATCATACTTCATTCTAAATAATATCTGAGTTAGTTGTTTTGTTACCATGTACTATTAAGGGCCACAGCCTTTCTTTCAATATTAGATATATTCTCTCAGCCTTTCTTTTTAGTGCAGAAATCTCATCATGCCCCCAGAATAAACCTACTTTTTCTGTTTGTTTGTTTGTTTGTTTTTTGTTATATCCTTTTCTTTCTACTACTTACACATTGCTATATTATTTATGAATCTTAGCAGCAAAGATACAAATCCATTCTGGTTCGTTTGTCCAGAAAAGGACAAAATCACATATGAACTAGAGAAGGCTCAAGTCTTATGCAGCCAAGAAAAAATGTGGTTTAACTATATCACACACCTTCAAAGAGGAAACTACCACTCTAGCTACTGCCTTCACTCGGAACCCTAAAATCACTGAAACTCACACAAAGTCAGAACTTCTACTACAATCTACAGTAGCAAAAACAGAAGATTTTCACAAAGCCTGTTTTCCTCTAATTTATCAATCAAGACTTCAATTGGTTGGTTGTGTGACTGGCAGAGGCTAGGTTACATGTTTGTGTCCTTACTGGCTGGAAAGACATAATTGATGACATATTCTCCAAATTGTTATATTCTCCAAATATAAAGAAGTTTTTCAAAAGAAAATGGGAAGATATAATAGGACAGATGCACACGCACATGGTAGCACATTCATTTTCATTTTGATGAAATACGTATTCAGGTTATTTGTCCATTCTTTATTTAGGTGTTTTTAATATTGACTTTTCCCAGTTTGTCTTTTCTTGCAATACTGTTTGCACCAGGAATTATTTGTTATATATTTAAATGAACCAGAATTTTATGTAAAAAAGAGTTCTGTTTATGTCAAACAGAAAATAAAATTTTCATTATTAAAAAACAAATGAGAATACGCTATATTTTCTTCTAGTATTTTTTCTTTTTTTTTACATTTGCATTTGCCATCTTATACCTAATAATTATGACTCATTTTCCTTTCAAATTCAACCATCTTTTAATTTAGAATTTCAAGTTGCTTCTGCATTAATGATAGCAAAATAATGCTGTCATTTAAATGAATTATTCATTTATTATTTTTTAAAATATTCTTAGCTTTAATGAAAGTTATGGGAAATGGTGGCTATCAAACACATGAATGGGAAAGGAAAATTGAACATCCATATTATTTAATCCAATGGAAATAAGCATTTCTTAGCTGCATTGAATTTCAAGAGAAGTAACTCATAATCACATTTTACAGATGAAGCAATTTATAGAAGATGAAATCAGAAATGTCAAAGCCATTACACATGAAGTTTTATCTCAGCCTTTACAATAGGGGTTGGGGGAGGGAAGAAAGGGGGCAATCAGTGATTTAATAATCTCAGTTTTTACTCAAAATGCTTTAGTTTATGCAGAGTTTTGTCTCAAAACACAGTCAAAATATTATTTCATGTGGTATTTTAACTGCTTTGTTAAAATTTTTAAAAATAATATTTAAAGTTACAAGAAAGGCAATTCATATCTCAGCTAGATATCTGGCCATCTATGGCAGAGAACACGTGCTCTGTTTTAGTTTCATTCTACAAATGACTTTTTGAAAGTGTGGCTAAACAAACAAATAGTAATTCTTGTCTAGGGTCTGGAAAAAACACTTCTGCTTTCATTATGGGAGATTAATGATTTGCTAAAGAAAGTGTTTAGTTAATAAACTTAGCATTGTTTGTTTTAAAAAAAAAATAACTCTTGACCAAAAGGAAAAGGCAGAAGAATTAGTTTCTCTCTCAAAAAAAAAAAAAATGAACCAAAATGGAGATATCATATGAAAACAATAAGTTTTTATCTGGAGATGAGACAACTTCACATATTTACACTGGTTAAAAGGACATTTGGAGGCAGTGATTTTGACTCAGCGCTACCATTTACTCTTTTTGTGAAATTGGAAATAGTTACTTGGTCCCTTCACACTTCAGTAGAAAAATAATGCATGTCTACTAATGTTGTACAAATCAAAATAAAATTTTGACAGTACTTCAAATTATAAGATAAGTGAGTATTTGTTGTAATGATTATTGTTGTTACCATTGTTATTACAGATTAGACAAAAGTAATATTTTTTTTCCTTAAGACAATTTCCTTAAGGCAAAATGCATCCTTTTGAAATTTTGTCTTGTTGGGCACTGCAGTTCAGAAAGAATGCTATCAAATCACTCTAATGGGGTAGGAAACAGATTTTCCTAGAAAAACTTACAAGGTATACACTGAAGGGGAAGAAAGAAGAGAAGGAGAAGGAAAGGAAGGAGGAGGAAGAGGAGGAGGAAAAGCAGAAGATGAAGAGAAGAAGGAGGAGTAGGGAGGGGAGGAGGTGGAGGAGAAGGAGGAGGAGAAGGAGAAGAGAAGAAGAGAAAGAGGAAGAAGAAGGAACAGAAGGAGGAAGAGGAGGAGAAGGAGGTGGAAGAGGAGAGGAGGAGGCGGAGGAGGAGGAGAAAGAGCAGCCTGGGTCCCTTAATATATCTTCTTACCACACTAAGAGATGTCCTCAGCCCATAGGCTCTATTGCATCCACAGTGATGCTTTACCATTTAGGAAGGAAACTCCTCCACTGTTTATGGAAAGCAGCAGGCATTCAAGATTTGAGTGGTCAGCCAGGTACTGTAGTAACAGAAAAATGTTAAAGGCCAAAATGCTATGATCTTGATGCTCATGGAAAGCTGCATTTAGGCAGAGCTGCTTTTGCAAAAGAAGGAGGAAGCATAAAAGGCAGTGATAAAATAATTTAGAAACAAGTAATGACATGCTGTTGAGCAAATACTCCTCTTCCACCCTTGGAGAAAGCAGGAGAGGATAAAACCAAGAGTCTTTTATTTAGATCTGCAGACTTGAGGGTGTGGGTGCCCAGGACTTGATGCATAAGTTGTGGGACCCAGTGCAAAATCAAAATGCAAGCCCTTTGTTCAAATATCATTAGCAATTTTAAGATGACAATAACAGAATTAAATTAAGCATAAAGTTCTTTTAAACATAGGATCCAGTGTTGCTGCACAGGTTTGTCCTGTGCTTCTGTAGCTGGATGCATGGGTATTTTACTGAAAATAAAAGGGGTATTGTCTTTTGCACCCACCAAATGCTGAATGCTGAATGCCAAGAACCCCTCACTAAAGGGCCTTGCCTTTGCTATTAACACAAGAGATTAAAAGAATATTTTCAGGTTTATACTACTAAAGCAAGTGTCATCCAAAACATTACTCAAGACAGCCTTCACTGAAACTCTAAGCCAAAAAGTTACCAGCTCAGTGATTAAACTTTTAATCCCTATAATCTTAAACAAGAATAAATAACTAAAGATGGCCAAACACACAAGGAAAGGATTTAAAATAAAAAAAGAAAGCAAAACAAAGGAAACATGATTCATAAGTTAAAAATATATACAGTGTTGAAATTTCAAAAGATAATTATACAAATCATCAGATTAGATATGATATTGCAACCATGAACAAAAAGTATTATGAAAGGGAATATTCAGGGGGAAATGAGTAGATTTAAAAACAGGATAGAAGAAATAAAAAACAATAAAAATTTCAGAAAATATTGTGCTGTATACATGTAATAAGAATTGTAATGCATTCTGCTGTCATTTATTTTTTAAAATCAATAAAAAAAATTAGAAAATAAATTTGAGGAACTCTCACAAGAAGTACAGTGGAAGACCAAGAAATGATTATCAGGATAGGAACAAACATAATAAAGGATTCATTCAAGAGGCCCAACACTCAAATAACAGATGGCTAGGAGATAAATGGGGAGGATGGAAGAAGGAAGTCAACAATGATAAATAACTCAAAATTGACTGAAACAGAAGAAAAGATGTTCCAAATTCCAGTCCAATGGATAAAAATACACCCACTCTAAGGTGGATATTGTGAAATTTCAGAACATCATGGACAAGAAAAAAAAAAATCACACAGGTTCTACAAAAGGAAGAGTTTGCAAGTAGTCAGAAGTTAAAATGATTTCAACTTTCTTAGCAAAAGAGAAATGTCTCAAAGATTTTGAAGGAAAGTGTTTCCAACCTAGATCCTATTGAAATGTTAATTAAACAGGAAGATGAAATAAAAACATGCTAAATTATGAACTGTCTCAAAGGTCTATTTCCCATGCATACTTTTTCTCACCAAAATCAAGAGCAAATCCAACTAAAAGAAAGGATATGGTAACAGGAATCGTCAGGACAACATTAACTGGCGATTCCAGGATAGTAATGCCACCTAGGGCGTATCCAGATAAGATTAGAGTAACTGCTGAGGGCTCTCATACCCATGCCTCTTTCCTTGTTGCTTGAACTTGACCTGATTTATTAGGGCAAAATAACACATTCGACCAAATAAGAGGAAGATAGGGACCAAAAGCAATCAATGTAAGCCAGAAGAAAGACAGGGAATTAACGGTGCCACAGAAAAGAGACATCCTGGAATGACAGTTGTACTTCAGGCCTGAAGTACAACCAGCTGTGGAGACTGTTTCCAAGAAAATTACTGAAATGTCTGAGTTTATCTGACATCATTGACCTTGTTCAAAATTATACTTATTGGGCTGGGGATGTGGCTCAAGTGGTAGCGCGCTCGCCTGGCATGTGTGCGGCCCGGGTTCGATCCTCAGCACCACATTACCAACAAGGATGTTGTGTCCGCCGAGAACTAAAAAATAAATATTAAAAATTCTCTCTCTCTCTCTCTCTCTCTCTCTCTCCCCTCTCTCACTCTCTCAAAAAAAAATTATACTTATTAACTATTTAAAGACAGTGGGCACAGCAGGGGCAGGAGAAGAGCAACAGATACAAAAACACAAGGGAAAAACAAAATGAAGGGAGTGAAATTAAAGTGTTCATAACATGCCAAAATCACTCAATGTAAAAAGTATTTTGCATAAGCCTAGTACTGTAAACATTGAATAGTGACTTAACAAAAAACCACAGGGTCAATCTGAGTTCATCTTGAAATCCAAGGAAATAATCTCACATTAGGAAATCTATTCATTTAATTTGCTAATGTGTATTAAATGTATCAAATATAATATAAGTATATTAAAGATTTAATGTAAATGTGTTATACTTAATATATTTGATATTTAATATAAATATTTCATTTAAGTATATAACGTAAAATTATACTATATATGTTTAAAATACATTTGATAAAATTCAACATCCACTTTTTGTCAAAGCAACACCACCCAAAAATCCTTGGTAAGCTAGGAATTAAAAAAAAAAATCTTTCCTTCCTTCATATAAATATGGGAACTGATTAACATGAAAAAATGTACTTAACAGTATAATAGTGTAGGAATTCCAATTAAAGTAAGAAGAGACATATAACATACTGGCTGGTGCAGTGGTATGTAGCTAAAATCCCAGTTACTTGGGAGGCTAAAGCAGAAGGTTCTCAAGCTCAAGGTCAGCTTCAGCAATTTAGTAAGACCCCATCTCTAAAAGTTAAAAAGTGCTGGGGTTGGAGTTCAGTGGTAGAGTGCCCCCCTAGGTTAAATCTCTAGTACAACCAAAAAAAGAAGAAGAAGAAAAAGAAATTTTGAGTCTGGTTATTCTATTGTTTGAAATTAAGCACCATGATCTTTAAGTAAAATTTCTAACAAACAAGAAATTAAATAAATATTTGAAAAGGAGAAACATATTACTGTGAATTATAAACTCCTATTTTTACTGTAAAAAAAACTACTAGACTTAATGTAATAATTTAATAAAATGCTCAGTTGTAAGTACTTTTTGGATTTACAGAAAGAACACCAAGAAATCCACATGAAATATAAAGAACCCACTTGAAAAGAAACTGGTATGGAGTAGATTTTGAGCAATATATAAATAAATTAAGTTTAGTCTAAAATTTTGGAGCAGTAATTGATGATAGTTCTTCAGATTTCTTCACTAAGCTCTAAATACAGCAGGTCTCATTTCGTGACTTTTTGCACAGACCAGAATTAAAAAGAACAGATAAAGTCATCAACCAGAGTCACTGTACAAACATCCTGAAAAGTGATTGGCGTGTTCATTCAGATAATGGGGTCTTAGGGGAGCAAGGTGCAGAATCTCAGTATCTTCCTGACCTCTGAGGGAATGAATAACACTCTCCATTTTCTTATGGCACAGCAGGCCTCCTTAGCCCAGGGAAACAACCTAAATTGTCCTGATGACGCTTTGAAAAAAAATTTTTTTAATGCTGTTCCTGTTTTTAGAGAAGCAAGTGAACAGAACAGACTTCGTGCAGACCAGGGCAATAGGGTGAGACTAAGTGATTTGGCTTCAACAAGCTAACAGAGAGAAATTGGAAGACTTACCACATGAAGGAAACAGGAATTATATAGTTAAAGACAAAAATGTATGGCAGCACCTGACCTCCCTACGGCAATCACAACCTCTCCAGTGTTTCTGTTAACTGGGCAGGAACAGCTGTATGATATATAGCATGTGGTACAAAGTATAAGCACTAGCCTGTATTGATCAGCTTTCTGTTATCATATTACTTTATATAAAATAATCAACTTAAAAAGTTTATTTTGGCTTACAGTTTTAGAGATTCAGTCTGCGATCCATCCTTGTTGTTTTAGATGCATGGCAAGACAGCATGTCAAAAGAGGGAGTGGTGATAGGGGAGCCTGTGTACCTCTTGGCAGCCAGGAATCAAAGACAGAGGAGGGACTAGGGTACAAATACCATTCCCCCATGAAGATATTGACCTAAACTTTGCACTACACTCCAGCTCCCAAAGGTTCCACCACCTCCCAAAAGTGGCACAGGCTAGTGGTCAAGTCTTTAGCACATGGGCCTTTGGAGGATATTCAAACTGTAGCAAAGACCCCTGATCACAGAGCCCAAACAAAGGTACATTAAAAGTACTAAAGGATTGCGAGTTCAGACTCAGCAAAAGTGAGGCGCTAAGCAACTCAGTGAGACACTGTTCTACATAAAATACAAAATATGGGTGGAGATGTGGTTCAGTGGTCAAGTGCCCCTAAGTTCAATCTCCAATACCAAAAAACAAAAACAGTAAACTAGGTTTGCTGTGAGAGGTTTCAAGATGGTGGAACAGAGTAGGCCACTTTCCTAGCTGCTCCATGGCATGAAACTAAGAAAGCAGACAGGTAGCTTCTCAGAAAGTGAGGTACTAGAAACCTTCAGAGACACTATAAGTCTACAGGATAGGCATTCTAGTGCCTCACATCCATACTGTTAGATGGGTAGGCACACAAACAACATGAAAAAAACAAGGGAACAAATCACTCCAAAACAAATCAAGATACTTCAACAACAGAATCCATCACCACCACAGTGCAAGAAATGTCAGAGAAGGAGTTTAGAATGAACATATTTAAACTAATCTGTGAGGTGAAGAACTATGTAAGGAATGATATCAGAGAAGAAAATACAGGAAGTGTAAGATCACTCCAATAAAGAGAGATTCTTAAAAAAAAAAAAAAAATCATACAGAATGAGCTGGGCGGCGCCCCTGTGCAACAGTGGCCAGCAGCCACACTGGCCCGGTTACAGAAGCCAGGCCTGGAGGCTCCACGTGAGCACGTGGCCTTCCGGCCTGACAGCCCAGGACTCAGCAGGACCAACTCCTTCAACAGTCAGCAGCCGCTGGCTGGTGCACCAGGCCAGGCCGAGCCTTCTCTGCCTGCCCCAAACACTGTCACAGCCGTGAAGGCCACACATATCTTGCACCCAGTGAAGAGCATGCGGGTACTAAGATCTGAACCACAGACAGCCATGGGGCCCTCCCACCCTGCTTGGGTGCCCGCACCTGCCCCAGCCGCTGAAGGCCTGGACTCGAAGGATGAGCACGCCTTGGGCCTGGGAGCCACTGCTGTCTACCCACTGGATGTGGAGAACAGTGGCACAGACCGCAGATGCCCACCTCCACCCTACCCCAAACACCTGCTGCTGCACAGCAAGTCCGAGCAGTACGACCTGGACAGCCTATGTGCCGGTGTGGAGCAGAGCCTCCGTGGGGGCCCAACTGCAGAGCCTACGGAGAGGAGCCACAAAAGTGCCAAGGGGGACAAAGGTGGCAAGGATAAAAAGCAGATCCAGACTTCTCCAGTGCCAGTCCACAAAAATAGCAGAGATGAAGAGAAGAGGGAATCCCCAATCAAGAGCCACTCCCACTATGCCTTTAAGTTCTTCATGGAACAACACGTTGAAAATGTCATAAAAACCTACCAGCAGAAGGTCAACTGGAGATTGCAGCTTGAACAAGAAATGGTCAAAGCTGGACTCTGTGAGGCTGAGCAGGAACAGATGAGGAAGATCCTTTACCAGAAGGAGTCAAATTATAACAGACTAAAGAGGGCCAAGATGGACAAATCCATGTTTGTGAAAATCAAAACCCTGGGGATCGGTGCATTTGGAGAAGTATGCCTTGCTTGTAAGGTGGACACTCATGCCCTGTATGCCATGAAGACCCTGAGGAAGAAAGACGTCCTGAACCGGAATCAGGTGGCCCATGTCAAGGCCGAGAGGGACATCCTGGCTGAGGCAGACAATGAGTGGGTGGTCAAACTCTACTACTCCTTCCAAGACAAAGACAGCCTGTACTTTGTGATGGACTACATCCCTGGAGGGGACATGATGAGCCTGCTGATCCGTATGGAGGTCTTCCCTGAGCACCTGGCCTGGTTCTACATTGCAGAGTTGACTTTGGCCATCGAGAGTGTCCACAAGATGGGCTTCATCTTAAACATTAAACCTGACAACATTTTGATAGATCTGGATGGTCACATCAAACTGACAGATTTTGGCCTCTGCACTGGATTCAGGTGGACTCACAATTCCAAATACTACCAGAAAGGGAACCACATCAGACAGGATAGCATGGAGCCCAGTGACCTCTGGGATGATGTGTCTAACTGTCGATGTGGGGACAGACTGAAGACCCTGGAGCAGAGAGCACGGAAGCAGCACCAGAGGTGCCTGACACACTCCCTGGTTGGAACCCCAAATTACATCGCACGCACCAGAGGTGCTCTTGCGCAAAGGGTACACTCAGCTCTGTGACTGGTGGAGTGTTGGTGTGATTCTCTTTGAGATGCTGGTGGGACAGCCGCCATTTTTGGCTCCTACTCCCACAGAAACCCAGCTAAAGGTGATAAATTGGGAGAACACGCTGCACATTCCATCCCAGGTCAAGCTGAGCCCTGAGGCAAGGGACCTCATCACCAAACTCTGCTGCTCTGCTGACTGCCGCCTGGGGCGGGATGGGGCAGATGACCTGAAGGCCCACCCTTTCTTCAGCTCCATCGACTTCTCCAATGACATCCGGAAGCAGCCTGCCCCCTATGTTCCCACCATCAGCCACCCATGGACACCTCAAATTTTGATCCTGTAGATGAAGAAAGCCCTTGGAATGAGAATAGTGAAGGCAGCACCAAGACCTGGGACACTCTCACCTCCCCCAATAACAAGCACCCTGAGCATGCGTTTTACCAATTCACCTTCCGGAGGTACTTCGATGACAATGGCTACCCCTTTAGATGCCCAAAGCCTTCAGGAGCAGAAGCTTCGAAGTCTGAGAATACAGATTTAGAAACTTCTGATCTGGTGGACCAGAGCGAAAGCTGCCAGCCAGTGTATGTGTAGGCTGTGACCAGGTGCCCACAGCTCGTGTCTTCAGAGCCCGGGAGCCGCAGCAGGTGAATGAACAGGCAGATGGGAAGTGCAGGGTGACTTTGTTTGCAATAAGTCTGTTGATTACATCACTTGAAATTCTGGTCTTCACCAAGAAAACCTCAAACCAACAAGAAACTGAAAAAAAAAAAAAGAAAAAAAAAAAAAAGAGACTGAAGTCTAGCAGATCTTCATTTCTAGATTCTGTTTGATGGGTGTCAGGAAGGTTCAACAGGTCTTGGGATTGGCTTTGAGGGCCTTCACTGAATTAAAATAAGATTTTTAACAGTTTAGTACAATTTAGAAAGAGCACTTATTTTATTGATATCCAATTTTTCTTACTAAATTATAAGGATTAACTTCGACAAATCATGCTACTGTTATTTTCTACATTTATATTTTATCCATAGCACTTATTCACATTTAGGAAAAGATATAAAAACTGAAGAACATGTGATAAGAAATCTCTGTGCAATAATGTTGGAAAAAAAAAAAGATAAAGCTCTGCTCAGATGTCACGGAGACCATTTTATCCACACAATGGTTTTTGTTTTGTATTTTTTCCCCACATTTCAAAATTGTGATATAATGTTAAAAGCTGCTTTTATTATAATTTTTTTGCTTTTGCATATTATAGTATAATATAAAGTGTGAGCAAAATGATATGGGTGTGATTTCAGGTATATGGCGTGTGGAAAGTACTACATGAGCAGGGTTTTTCTATTATAAAATTACTGTATCTTGCCATTCACAGCAGGTCCTGTGAATATGTTTTTACTGAGTGTTTTTAAATGAGGTATTTTAGACAATGTGCTGATAATGTATTGTGTGGGTGAATTCTTCCTTATGATTGTATCCCTTTTTGTTTTGTTAAAGAAATGCAGATGTGTAACTGAAAAAAAATCATACAGAAATCCTCAAAATAAAGATGTCAATAAACCAAATTAAAAATTCACTGGAAAGCATTCCCAACAGACTAGACCAATTGGAAGACAGAGTTTCAGGCAATGAAGACAAAATATATAATATTGAAAATAAAGTTGACCATGGAGAAAAGATGTTGAGATATCATGAACAGAACTTCCAAGAACTATGAGATAACCTGAAAAGAACAAATTTAAGATTTATTGGAATAGATAAAGGCTGAGAGATATAAACCAAAGGAATGCACAATATTTCCAATGAAAGGATATCAGAAAATTTCCCAAAACTGAAGAATGAAATGGAAAATCAGATTCAGAAGGCTTACAGGATTCCAAATATACAAAATTACAAAAAACGCACATGAAGGCACATTATTATGAAAATGCCTAACATACAGAATAAGGACAGAATTTTAAAGACTGCCAGAGGAAAGTGTTAGATTACATTTAGAGCAAAATCAATTCGGATCCCAGTTGATTTATCAACCTAGACCCTCAAAGCTAGGAGGTCTTGGAATAACATATACCCAGTTTGAAAGAAAATGGATGCCAACTAAGAATACTATACCCAGAAAAATTAAGCTTCAGATTTGAAGATGAAATAAAAACCTTCCATGATAAACCAAAGTTAAAAGAATTCACAACTAGAAAGCCTGCACTACTTTCTATGAAGATGAAATGAAAAAATAAATAAATAAATAAATAAAAGTAAAACCAGCAAAGAGAGGAACTACACCAAAGGCATAGTCAATCAAAGGAGAAACTAATTCAAATTAAAAACCAGAAATAAACCAAAATGACTGGGAATACTAATTATATCTCAATTATAACCTTGAACATAAATGGCCTAAACTCATCAATCAAAATATATAGATTGGTAAATTAGACTTAAAAAACGAACCAACAAAGTGTTGTCTCCAAGAGACTCACCTCATAAGCAAAGCCATCCACAGACTGAAGGTAAAGGATGGGGGAAAATATATCATAGATCTTGAAAACAAGCAGGGTATCTATCCTCATATCAAGTAAAATGGACTTGAGGCTAAAGTTAATCAAAAGGGACAAAGAAGGATATTTCATACAGCTTAATGGAATTATACATCAACAAGACATAATAATCATAAATATTTATGCCCCAAACAATCAAGCATCAACATACATCAAACAAACCCTTCTCAACTTAAAGAATCCGCAACATAATAATAAATGGGTGACTTTAACATACCTCTCTCACCATTGGATAGATTCTCCAAACAAAAGCTAAATTAAGAATCTATAGTACTAAAAAATACAATTAATAATTTATACATATATAAAATATATACAAAATATTTCATCCACCAATGACTGAATACACTTTCTTCTCAGCAGCATATGGATCCTTCTCTAAAATATACCATATCTTAGGCAATAAGGCAACTCTTAGGAAATACAAATGAATAGAGATAATACCTTGCATTTTGTCAGATCATAATGGAATGAAATTAGAAATCAAGGGTAACATAAAAAAAATAGAAGCTACTCTAACAACAGGAGACTAAACAATACACTACTGAAAAACCAATGGCTAGCAGAAAAAATCAGGGATGAAATTTAAAAAAATACTTAGAGGTAAATGAATGATACAACATATCAAAATCTCTGGGACACTATGAAGGCAGTGCTAAGAGGAAAGTTCATTACTTTGTGCTCATTCATTAAAAGAATAAAAAGTCACCAAGTAAATAACCTAACATTATATTTCAAAGCCCTAGAAAAAGAAGAACAAATCAACACCAAAAGCAGAAGAAGACAAGAAATAATTGAAAGCAGAGCTGAAATCAATAAAATTGAAACAAAAGAAACAAATCTAAAAATTGACATAACAAAGTTGGTTCTTCGAAAAAATAAATAAAATTTATAAATCCTTAGCCAAGCTAACGAAAAGACACAAAACTAAAATTTCTAATGCGATACAATTTCTTTGCAATGAAGAAGGAATTATCACACAGACACTACTGAAATATGACGACAATCAAAAACTGTTTTGAAAACTTATACTCTAATAAAATAACAAATCTTGAAGACATTGACAAATTTCTAGAGACATATGACCTACACAAACTGAATCATGAGGCCATAGAAAATTTAAAAGATCAATTTCAAGCAATGAAATTGAAGACATTATCAAAAGCCTTCCAACAAAGAAATTCCAGGAGCAGATGGATTCTCAGCCAAGTTCTATCAGAACTTAAAAGAAGAACTAACACCAATACTCCTCAAATTATTTAATGAAGTAGAAAAAGGGGGAACCCTTCCAAACTCATTCAATGAATCTAGTATCACCCTGGTACCAAAACCAGACAAAGACACATCAAGAAAAGAAAACTTCAGACCAACATCCCTGATGAACATAGATACAAAAATTCTTTATAAAATACTGGCAAATCACATACAAAAACATATTTAAAAGTTAGTACCTCATGATCAAGTGGAGTTCATAGCAGGGATGCAAGGTTGGTTTAACATACAGAAATTAAAAGCCATAATTCATCACATCAGTAAACTTAAATACACACAGTAATCACATGATTATCTCAACAGATGCAGAAGAAAGCATTTGACAAAATACAGTACCCCTTTATGTTCAAAACACTAGAAAAACTAGGGATAGTAAGAACATAGCTCAAAATTGTAAAAGCTATATATATATGTTAACCCAAGGCCAACATCATTCTAAATGGAGAAAAATTGAAAGCATTCCCTCTAAACACCAGAACAAGAATGGAATGCCCTCTGTCACTACTTTTATTCACTATAGTCCAGGATGTTCTAGCAGAGCAATTAGACAGAAAAAAGAAATTAAAGGGATATGAATAGGAAAAGAAGAATTCAAACTGTCCCTGTTTGTCACTAGAAAACTTATAGAGCTCATAAAAGAATTCAGCAAAGTAGCAGGATATAAAATTAATGCACATAAATGAATTGCATTCCTGTACATCAAGTGATGAAATGACTGAAAGAGAAATTAGAAAAACTATCTGCTATGGTTTGGTTGTAAGGTGTCCCCCAAAAGCTCACATGTAACACAATGCAAGAAGGTTCAGAGGAAAGATGATTAGGTTGTAAGAGTTTTAACACAATTGGTGAAATAATCCCCTGATAGGAATTAACTGTTAACTGAAATGTTAGGGTGTTACTGTAGGAGGTGGGAATTAAGGCATATATATGTGGGATATATATGTGTATCTAGCCAGTAGAGTCTCTCTCTCTCTCTCTCTCTCTCTCTCTCTCTCTCTCTCTCTGCTTCCTGATCATCGTGATGTGAGCTGCTTACCATTGTCACACTCCTCTGCCATGATGTTCTGCCTCACCTTGAGACCCAAGGAATGGAGCCAGCCCTCTATGGACTGACATCAGGAGCTCTCAAATAAACTTTTCCTTCTTTAAAATTGTTCTGATGAGATCTTTTAGTCACAGCAGCGAAAAACACTATCACTTTCACTAGAGCCTCAAAAATAAAATAAAATACTTGGGAACCAATCTAACAAAGGACATGAAAGACTTCAACAATAAAAACTACAAAACTGTAAAAGAAAGAAATAAAGGAAGAAAGGAAGAGGAAAGAAAGAAAGAAAGAAAGAAAGAAAGAAAGAAAGAAAGAAAGAAAAGAAAAGAAAAGAAAAGAAAAGAAAGGCAGGCAGGCTGGGGATGTGGATCAAGCGGTAGCGTGCTCGCCTGGCATGCATGCAGCCTAGGTTCGATCCTCAGCACCACATACAAATAAAGATGTTGTGTCCGCCGAAAACCAAAAAATAAATATTAAGATTTAAAAAAAAAAAAGCCAGCAAAAGTGAGACACTAAGCAACTCAGTGAGCCCCTGTCTCTAAATAAAATACAAAAAAAAAAAAAAGAGCTGGGGATGTGGCTCAGTGGTGGAGTGCCCCTGAGTTCAATCCCAAAGAAAGAAAGAAAGAAAGAAAGAGGAAGGGAGGGAGGGAGGGAGGGAGGGAGGAAGGAGGGAAGGAAGGAAGGAAGGGAGGGAGGAAGGAAGAAAGAAGAAAGAAAGAAGAAAGAAAGAAAGAAAGAAAGAAAGAAAGAAAGAAAGAAAGAAAGAAAGAGAGAAAGAAAGAAAAAAGAAAAGAAGAAAGAAAAAAAGAAAAAAAAAGAAAGAAAGAAAAAAGAAAGAAATTGAAGAAGACCTTAGATGATGGGAAAGATCTCCCATGTTCTTGGATAGGCAGAATTAATATTGTTCAAAATGGT